ATGAAGTAAAGCCCGCTTCCAAAAAATTTATTGTTTTTGCAAACAAGGGTCTTTTCATCTACTAATCAGGTCTGAAGTGCTGAGGCTTCAGTCCACTTAGATGGTAAATTATAATCATCACTATTAAAGAAGTTCAGCACATACTTTTTGGGACTTAAAGGGGGGTGCCCCAGTTTCGCATACATAACATTTTCGTAAATAAACCAATAACTTTATTCAACTTTATATCTCCACGGCAAGGATGAGAAAGAGAAGCTTGGTGTCATGCTTATGCACAGTCGCCTCACAGAAGTAGGTTACGAGACCGATAAGGGCAGTGTTATATTGCTCAATATTTTTCTAAAAAATGTGGAACCATAGGACATAAGAATCTGCGACACCCGATTCTCAAAAACTTTCATGAGTTCCTCATTGGTCTACTTGTTTTGCAAGTTCCATACCCCAAAGTTGGTGCTGCTTAGTGCTTCTTGTGTCATCCTTTTCTTAGACACCGCCCACACCTCAAATCCACACATGCATAGCAGATTGGGGTTGTCCTCTGGTGAGTTGTTATGATCTCGAACATCTTTATCATGGACAGTTGCAGACTTAATTCCATCTAACTTGTTGTACTGAATAGAAGATTCCTTCAGATCTTCAAGTAGATCCAACATCCTACTCCACTGAGCCTCACTTCCTTGGCAACATTTGCACAGCAACAGTGACTCGGTATCTGCAAAATTCACCCAATTCGGGAACAAGTCCCCCCTTATCCTCTTCGTACCAAAATACTGATCAAGATAAGCATCTGAAATCTTTATGATTGGCTCAATATCATATACAGATTTCAGATAGCTGTATAATTGGATGTTATGCTTGTATGACAAGCGTGGGAACGACATTACGGAGAACTTCCTTGACTCCAGCCAATGCACGGTGGTAGTGTAAATAGCCGCAACTGCTTCAGGCTCCACATCACTAGCACCAGCATCATCAACGGCACCAACACCAGCACTTGCACTTATATTACTTGGCTAAAGCCACCATATTTACAAGTAGCGCACCTTTAAGTAAACTTAGCAAAACTTGGTGCTGCACAAAATGGAGCAAAGCCCCATAGTATAATTGAAAGTACTACAACTGAAACTACCACACCTACCTACAGGTGCTATATTAAACAAGTTTGTATACACAAAAGGATTGCAACAGCTAGCAGACCAAACCCCATAGAGAGTAAGTTGCTGCTTGGGCAACCTCCATTTCTGCTTCATATAGATCTTTCACACAAGCTGGAACCAAATAGTGGGTCTTATACCCAACTGCCATCTCCTTGCCATAGAAAGCCTGCTTATGAGCAAGCACATTCATTTCTCGAGGGACATGAGACACATAGGCAACTTCAAAGATCAATCCAGCAACATCACATATGGCTGCAGCGAGCTCATGATGCGGATTTCCTCCGGTAGTTAGAAGCATGGTGCGTAGAGAATCAGCAACTGTTTCTATTTCGATTAACTTGCACTTGCATTGCCAGCTGTGGCAAAATTTGATAAATACTAGTAGTAAGAAATATATTATTAAATAGGCCATGTGGGATGCCACGACGGCATTATTTGCCACGTGACAGTGCACTTCTTGCTGAACATTCTGTTGACACCGAAATTTTGTTGATTATTAGGTGTCAGATATATGTAAATAAGGAAATAATATCGAAAAATATAAGATATTTATCTACAAGGTCTCGTAGAATATATGATTATTATCTTGTAAACTACTCTACGACTCTCTATATAAAGAGGGTCATTTCTAGGGTTTAAGGAGGCTCATATGGAATAAGTCATAAAGACCCCATCTCCTCTATACGGGGCTCAGATGGAACAAGTCACAAATACCTCATCTACTCCCTACAAGGCTCAGATGGAACAAGTTACAAAAACCCCATCTCCTCCCTATTGCCAAACATTGTAGGTACATAGTATGGATTAAGCCGACAAGACCCCATACTATAAACATATCAAAACCCTAGTCTTTTGGAGGAATCAAGAGATTTGCGAATGTTGAAACCCCACAAATTATCAATGAAATATTTGCTCCCGTATATTTCCTATCTCTTTAATTATATATTGCAAGTTTGAATTTTTATGGTTTACAAATTGGCACGCTCGGTGGGACTATCTCTGCCTTTCATCTTGCAATGGCCTTAGAGAACATTGTCGCTACAAAGACGACCTCTACTGAATTGGCTGAAATGCTTAACAACCAAAGTGGGGGCATCTCTACTAGAAGGATGAAGAAAACTGTTGTTGACTCAACAAGCTTGCGTGCCGCGTCAGACCAACGACCAAAGCACAAAAAAGTCGTGCTCGACCTGCTGCTGCCGTGAAGTCTGTCACGCCCTCCTCTCATGGACCACGTGAGAGTCTTATGTTTGGTTCATTCGAGCCTGTCATCCACACAAACTTATCCTTTGATCACTTTGATGAAGGACATGACAATGAGTTTAGTGTGAGTTCACCTAAGCCTACCCTACTATTGTTGCTGTTATGATGACGCACACTAAGACGGTCGAAGAACAACTGGCTGAAATGAGCAGCCTCCTTCAACAGTTGAAGAAAGATGGGAGGAAAAAGATGCTCAAATCAAATAGCAAAATGAACAAATTGCTGCTTTGACAAAGAAGCTTGAGAAACAACCGATGACAATTCAGATGGTAGTATTAAATCGATGGAATTAAAGCCAAATGGGCCACAAAATTCAGTCACTGTTGAACAAGTTCAAGCTATTATAGCCTTGTCAAGAGCCAACTTGGAGGGGCGGGTTCGTACAATAGCCGACGTTATGTGAACCCTTATACTAAGAGGATAGATGAGCTGAAAATGTTGTTCAGATACCAACCTCCAAAATTTCAACTCTTTGATGGAAAGGGTAACCCAAAACAACATGTTTCACACTTCATAGAGACGTGCAACAATGGTGGTACCCGGGGTGACTTGCTTCTTAAGCAATTCGTTCGTTCTCTTAAGGGAACCGCTTTTGACTGGTACACTAACTTAGAGGCAGCCCATTGACAGGGGATCAGATGGAAATGGAATTTTTGGGTCGATTCCAAAGCGTGTCGTTAGCATGACTGAGCTAACTCAAACCGCGCAATAGGAGGAAGAGTCAGCCATTGATTACATCAATCGCTGGCGGGCTCTAAGTTTGGAATGTAAAGATCGCCTGACTGAAACCTGTGCCATCAAGATGTGTATTAATGGATGAGTTTGGAACTACACTACATCTTAAAAGGCATCAAGCCAAAATCTTTTCAAGAGTTGGCGACGAGAGCTCATGACATGGAGCTCTCGATCACCTACAACAAGAAGAAGAAAGGGCTTTCTTCGGAAGCCAAGAAGGAAAAGAAAGAGTATCATAAAAATGACAAGTCCTCCAAAAGTTCAACTAAGGAGACGTTGTCTGTGACTACCATTTCTACACCCATCAAGATTTTCAGGGAAGAAGAAAGAAGAAAGTAAGGGTTCATCTTCGAGATTTGTCAAGAAAGATAAACCCATTTTGAAAGAGCTTCGGGCTAAGAAGTACCCTTTCCCATACAAATTTCCAAAAATAAAATAATCGAGTTACTTCTGTCAAAGCGCCCTGAGCATATTGAAAAGTGTATAACACTTAAGGAGAAAATTATGCAATTGGCAAAGGATGGGACAATCAAGTTAGATGTCGAAGAGCCAGTGACATCAAATCATGCCTAAGTAGCTATTGAGCCATCATTTCAAGCTCCAACTTTGCAATTTGAAAGTTTGGAGCCTGTGATCATACTTGTGGAGAGTCAACCAAACTTTGAAGTCTTATCCCAAGTTGAACACCCTACACATCTTAACTCCCAAAATGAAGACGATGACGAAGGGTGGACATTGGTGACAAGGAGAAGGCCAAGGAAACAAGTGCATAATCCTAAACCACAACCTTCGCATCGTAGAAGAAAGCAACAAAAGAAGAGAAAGTCTAAGCATTCAAAAGGGAAAAAGAAATCAAAAGAGGCCAGCAAGCAAAAGGTCCTCCCTATTGATTTGCTTGAGCAAGAGCCATTGTCTCTTGTAACTTTGGAGGAATATTTCCCGGATGACTACTTTACCGTGGTTACGGCGAATACGGTTTCCTTTGTGGAAAGTGAAGAGGAACAAGTTGTAATGAAACATCAACAGAATCAACTTCACAACAATCTAAGGTGATAGTAGACCTAAAAATATCTACTGTCTTGGATGCTCTTCCGTCACGCATGGGATGGAGGCAAATGTTTCACTTGCCTAAAGAGATGTGTCAACACATTCATTTCAAAAAGGTTAGGCAAGAGTAATAGCAATAATTTATAGAAAAAACACATTAATGAATATTGAAACCTTGTATTTAAAGCAAAAGTTAGGCAACCTGTATTGAAGCATATTACTTAGGAAAGTAAGATTCTAGGCCACATTATTGGAAATCTTTTTAGAGAACTTTGAAGAGTATCACAGGGCAATCACAGGTAGCACTTTACTGCTATGCCATGTATTTATGTATTTGCATCCATAGTAGGTGTCTCCGTCAATAGAGATTTCGCAGTCAATACGCCTGGAAGATCCAAAGATTGAATGGTTTTCTACTGAAGTGTTGTTCTGACAAATCCCGAACTTGTATGAAGATAAGGGAGAATGGCTCTTCAGGAAAAGCATAGCTAGGAATAAAGGATGTGACCTCGCCGATAGCAATCAGCTCTGGTGACTAAGACGATTCCTGTATATTCTACTCCAATACACAGTAAAAGTCATGGCATCTGACTCGAACAAAAGACGATCCCAACTGTGGGAGTTTTTACTTTTATCCCATACTCTCCTTCCTTTCACCTCTAGCAAAGAGGTCATTATTGCAAAAGCCTGACAGCATGATAGATACAATCCAGTTACATAAACTTCGAAATCACGCATCATTGGGGTTGTACTGTTGTTTCCCAGAATACTAGATTAGTTGGAACTAAAAGAAAGATAAACAAAAAACGATGTACTAGGCATATAGGCAAAAAGCCTTCCAAAATGATGAAGATAGTATGCAAAGATGCCACAGCACATGTCAGACTTAAAACTCAGGAAATTACATGAGACAAGCTGTGAAGAATTAACCGGCATTTTTATTGTATGCAAGTTCTCTGTATAACAGCATCATAGGTTATAATAAAGATATATCACGTCCTAGTTTGGAGCTAAACTCCTAGTAGTGTACAGATACATAGCAGCTGAGCAAAAGCTAAGAAAAGTTTATCATAATTTTAGTATATGAACTGAAGAGAGTTGGATTAAAATGAGATTCAGAACCGTGGTTAAAGCATGGCCAGGAGATTGAGGAATAAGTGAAACCAGAGAACTCAGAGATCGAGCCACTTACAACACAGTTGATGTGATCTTGAATATTCATATACCCGGTATATATTATATATAGACAAATCAAAGTCCCAAATATTTTCAAAAATGCCTTATCAACAAGGTCTCCCCTGATCAGAAGTCGATCCTTTTGCTTGTGGAGATGATTGAGCTAGTGCTAAATCAGACACGGATAAAGTTCCTGACTGATCAACATCCAATTCTTCAAATTCTTCCATCATAAGAGATATATCGTCCTGAGTGATTTTTCCCAACTCTTTGAGCTTATATAGAACAAATTCAGCAGCACTGAAAGAATTCAGAATACAGAACAAAGTTAATGGAAGCACATAATTTACTTAATGCTAGAAAGACTTTACTTTCTCTTGTCTAGTTTGAGCAAGCTTGCTGAGCAACTAGAGTTAATTCTTAAAATCAAATAAGTCAAGATTAGGCCAAAAAGTTCACATATATTAAGAGAAGTAAACATTTGTTCAGATAAGGGCTAATAAAGAAGCTAAGATGCATAGCTTTCACTTACTTAACAACTCCATCATCATCGATATCAGCAGCCTCAAGATCCACATTGGTCATATGTCGAGTAAGAACACAGTGCACAAGGTACTTTTGTCTCTTTTCAGTGTTTATCTCAGTAAGATAGAGGAAAAACTGAGCTAAGCATATTGTGCTTGTCAAAATCCACACAACTGCAAATAAACGACCTCCCTTAGTAGAGAAACTGCGATCACCATAACCCAGGGTAGTGATGGTACAGCAAACACAATAAAACGCGTCTACAATATCCAACTTCTCAACAAATGTCAAGAAGAGTGTTCCAATCATGATGAGTATCAAGAGAAATATTAATGACAAGATGAATTTGTATCTAGATTTGTTTGTTTCAATTTCCTTCATAATATCGCTTGGACCGAGTTTTTGTCTCATATGCAAAGCTTTCACCATCAATGCCTCCTGCTTCTCAACTAGATAATCTGCTCCTCTACTAAGAACCAATCCAACCAAAGCCATACCTATGAAGACAAAGGCACAAGCAAGGAGCTTTCCAGAGACACTCTGTGGGACCAGGTCCCCATATCCGACTGTTGTCATGGTGACAATGGTGAGATAAAGAGCATCAACTACGTCATTTGTTTTTTGACCACTGATGTGATGTCTGACTAAGTAAAAGCAAATGACGCCAACAACCAGGTAAATGAACAAATATGCAGCAACTCCTATTAAACTAGGATGCAGACTCCCAAATACGGATTCAGATATTCTAGCAGAAGTCGCGCTGCCATCTACTTCTCCAGGAATAAGCTCAGCGAGAGGTGCACTCTTTACCCGGCGAAACCTTCTCTTCTTGACTGCATCCTTTCGATTTGAGGGTTTTGATATTAGGGACTCCTTTAAGTCATTATTATTGGCCATCAGACCATGTCACGCCAATAATTGTTATTTTTCAGTTATCACCTACAAAACTCCAGAAGTTTAGGAATTCATATTCTCATCCAGAAAGAAAAATAGTCTCATCATGTAAACACAAACAAGGATTTACATAGAGAGTATTAATGATATCTTATCATAACTATGTACAACATATTTTTCGGAATTAGTGACAGCATTTATTCCCCTGATTTACCAGAGCAACTGTTTTAGCTCATATCATGAAAGGAATTTTTTTAATCACAATGAAGGAACTTCATTTTTCCTAGGTATATGCAAGATTCGCAACAAACACACAAATTTGACAAATCGGTTACCACAATGAGCTAGTACCTGTGGCAAGCTCTACACATTAGAAAATTCAATAATCTCCACAAGTCAGCAAGCTGCTGTTTAGAATTTGATTCAGCACATATTTGACCATCTATTATTTTGTCTGAATCTACCTCCTCCCCAGCAATGCCTTTGTCATTTAATTCAACAAATTGCTAAAGAACTAAACACCTTGTTTGCATATTATTTGCTTGACTTTGGGAAAAAAAGTAAGCCTATAGGAGGGTATCTGACATTCTACAGCTACACAGTACCCTTGACTTTCAAATTCCAACCTTCATAATATCATAAAAGACTTTCTAGTTAAAAATAACCCTTGACTTTTTAATGTGGGTCAGTCAAAACATGTAAAGTCACACTCAACGACAATCAAGTTACATCAAGATAAAATTCTTACCTTAGGATACAAGTGAATCAGGACACCTCAGTAGCAAAAAATTTCAATAACAATTGGAGCCGAACACATTTACCATCATGAAGTTTGTCTAGTGATAAGAAATTAATTGTACCATAATGATCTTCAATTCTTCAAGTAAGAAGAATGCAGCCAGTTGAAGTTCTTATTGAAAAAAATGGCTTCCACTACTCTATTCTAGATAATGAGGCCTAGCTATTTCAATCTTTATAATGGAAATCTGCTTAGTATAAATCACTAATCATCGTTGATCAAAAGTATACAAGTGTCTTATCCCCTTTCCTACACAGTGAAGCATGGCATGAATTGCATAATGGACTAACATGAATACGGTGTGCCAAATGAAGACGACTACTGCTAGTCTGCTACTACTATCCCACTGCAAACATAGTGCCACGAGCCAACAAAACCCACCCCCAGAGGATGGGGTACAAAGAGGATTTCTCCCAGGGTATAAAGTTATATATAAACCACTCTTAACAACTCTGCAATCCTACTGCCATTAACCCACCACCACCACCTTCCACCAAGAGCCACTTAATACCATTACCACCTCGCTTTATAGTATATAACCCGAAAAATCATCGTGTATACGGTATACCACATTACCACCACACAGATATATATCATCACAGTCCCACCATAGCCAATCTACATAGTCTACAAAACCTGTGATTTCATACATTGTTTATGAACATAGAATTCCTAATAAAACTAATTACAGCTTAACTTTCCCAATTCATGCCAATCAATGGGTTGTTCTTGTTTCGTCTCTAACATTGTGTTTGGTTATAGAAAAGGGAAGGAAAAGAAGGGGAGGGAGGAGAAGAGGAGGGGAGGGAGGAGAAGAGGAGGGGAGGGAAAGGGAGGGAAGGGAAGAATGGTGAGTTTTCCTTCCAAATCTCTCCATTGTTGGAGGGATCAATTTTCTATAATTTAATACCTTCATTTCTCTCCCCTCCAATTCCCTTCCTTCCTCATTTGTTATCCAAATGAAAGAAACTCAATCTCTCCATTTCCCTTCCCTTCCTTCCCTCCATTTCCTTCAATCCAAACACACCGTAAAAGTTCTTCGCATTTCAACACAATTTAATGGGCAATTAGAACATCTAAAGATGGAGTAAAAACGAAGTAAGCAAAATAAAGTAGAAACAAGAAGTCCCAAAAATGGCTCAGTAACTAATAATTTAACACAATTTAATGGGCATTTAGAATTCATCAAGAAAATCAGCATAACTGAGTAAAATTAAAAGAGTAACAAGCAATTATACTACTGAGGAGTGAGGAAGATGCGTTAATCAGGAGACAAACAAAGAAAGTAATTAAAATGGGGAAAAAACTTACAAAGTAAAACTGGGCTAATTTCCAAACTGAAGATCAAAACTTTGATTTTCCTGCAGTTTGGCAAGAGAGAAAATTACAACTTACAAGGAGATAACTACTGAATTTGAAGATCCAAATAAAAATCCAGGCCAAGTGTAAACTGTAAAGTTGGCCAAATAAAAGGCCAGTTAAGCTGAAAACTAGGAAGTGCTCGTGGGCCACTTTAACAAATTGGACACCACATGCTACCGTAAAAGTGGAAACTGATTCAGCATGTTTTCAAAGTTGAGGGGTAAAAATTAAAAAAAATCACCCCGCCTGATCCGATTCGACTTGATTTGAAAGTAAATAGATTACGATTTTGATATTTATGTGCATAATAATGCTCGATGCTATTAAATTCGATCCAAACACTTGAACTGACACTAGTAATTTTAAGTGTTAATTTTGTGTGTAGTGGGTTTACAATATTATTACTATATCCTTGTATTGCGATAAATTAAATCTAATTGAGGATTACTTTAGTTTTGATCATCTTTGTTCATTAGAAAGTGATAACTAATATGATCACCTTTATACCTTATAAGTGGGGCTGTGCACAGTAGGTTAACCGTACCGTTTAGCCTTAACGGTACGGTTAACCGTTATGTCAGTTACTAAACAATGCGAATCGTAATCGTACCGTTAAAGAACGGTTAACCGTTCCTTAACGGAACGATTACAGGTTAACCTCTACTTGTTTAATAAATTTAAAATCAACATTGTATTTTAATTCAAACTTTAATTAAACAATAAAATTCATGTTCCAATTAAAAGTACACTTCGAGAAACCAAATACATTACAAAATTTTAATTACTACGAGTAAGTTATTTTAAAGCATAACAGACATACAATCTAATGATATTATACATATTAAATTAGCATCTTCAAATTGAGACCATGGCATATTGGCAGACTAGCAACCTAGAAGATCAAATTGCATCATTAATTCATTTTATATTTTCCCTAAAAAATTAAATAAAAACATACATATTTATTATAACGGTTGGTTAAACGTTTGCTTAAAATTGTAACCGTAATCGTAACCGTTAACTGCTATTTCGGTTAACCGTAACCGTTTAATTTAAACGATTCGGTAAATTAACCGTTTAAACGAGCCGGTTATACCGGTTAACAATTACGGTTTTTTTGCCACCCCTACTTATAAGTGGTTTTTAAGGAATTGTAAAGAGAACAAATTTATTAGTAGGTGAATATCTAGTGGTGACTTACTAACTTTTGATATTTGAAAGATAACTTTACACCCGCCTTACAATACTTATTATAAACACTCACTTTTTTATTTATTTTAAGAATTATGTTTACTTTACTTATCCGAAGTTATGTAAATTGATTTTGATAGCGAATTGGTGGTTAAGAAATTAAGTTTCATTTAGCACTACATTTGTCCACATGCTGTCATGCACAAGCTTAAATTCAATTTCACTCAGTAACTCAAACAACCAGCACCTTTAGCTCTTTATTTATTTATTTATTTATTTATTTGTTTATTTATTTTTACAAGACCTTTAGCTCTTTATTTAAGATAAGCACAATCACTACATTTTATCCGATACATTACAAATCTGCTTGGAAACCAAATTTCAAACATTCTTGCCAAGAACAACTAAATTTTGTGCTCAGCATATGATAACTTCCTTCAGCACCAATGCACCATACTCCGATTCTATCAATCGTTTCTATCAACAAAAAATTCCATGATTAGTTATATGCATGAACAATTTCTCACAGGAGCTGAGCATCAAATGGAGGGAGCAATGTTATCTGGTGATCTCTTTGGTGTAGGTTATCTCACTATATGGCAGTTCCAAATCATACACCGATAACCAACTTCAAGACTGATCGAAATCTAGATCTTTGAATTCTTTCATTACAACTGATATATCATTTTGAGTAATCTTCCCCATGTCCTTCAGCTTGTATAATACAAATTCAGCAACTCTGCAAGTCGAAGAATGTGGTATTATATCAAAAATAATTAGATTGAAACCAAAGGTAAGAAATGAGGATACATTATTTTCTTATGAGAAAGCATCAGATATCATCATTCTTGTCTCATTGTACTTACTCTACACCTCCATCGATGTTTGTAGCAGCAGCCTCAAGATCTACAATAGTTGCACGCCGAGTAATAACCCACCTGACTACGGCATTTTGCCTCCTTTCAGTGCTAAGCTCAGCAAGATGAAGGAAGAATAGCCCCAAGCATATAGTGGTTGTCAAAATTCACAAAATTGCAAAAATACGGCCTGCCTCAGTAGAAAAGCCATAATCTCCATATCCCAAGGACATGATTGTAACACAAACACAATAAAAGGCATTAACAGCTTCCAACTTCTCAACCAGCATCAAGAAAACAGTCCCGCATATCATAAGTAAAAGAAGGGCTACGACAGCCATAATGCAATTTTGTTGAACTTTGCTTGTTTCCATGATATCCTTCATAATATCACCTGGGCGAATAAGTTTTTTGCGCATTTGTAATGCCCTAACGAGCAATAATTCTTGCTTCTCAGCGAGATAATTTGCACCTCGAGTGAGAACTAGCCCTACCAAAGCCATCCCCCAGAAGATGAAAGCACAAATGAAGAGCTTAGCTTTCCTCAAAAAAAAAAAAAAAAGGAGCTTAGCAAGGGAACTTTGCGGGACTAAGTCACCATATCCAACTGTAGTCATGGTCACCGTACAAAAGTAAAGAACGTCTACTATGCTGTTTGTAGTCTTTGTACCACTAAGTTGATCTCTTACAGAGTATTACATAAAAGGAAAATACACTGACAAAAAGGTAAACAGTCATGAAGATAGTGATTTGTCTACAACTTCGATGGAGTTTCTTCCAGAGAGATTTGGGAGTAGGAACAGGCTCCTGATGAGCAGTTAGATTATCTCCCTAGTATAATCAGCAAATAACCTACAGGGTATTGAAAGCTCAGAGTTTAGTTTCAAAATTTTCCTCTAAAAGCTAGTATAATAAGTTTTACACAATATGGGTTAATTATTGAGGGATGACCATCTCAATCTCAAATGGGCAAAATCTCATGGGTATATTTGTTTGTTGTTCTTGGCATATGTAGGTTCATGTTTTGAAAAATAGAACTTGAGACATGGCTTTATCATTCTAGTTATTTCACTTCAAGTCCATAGCTTAAGAATAGTAAGATTGATAAAATTCCACTCCCTATTCTTAGTTTGTACTATCTCATGCAAAAACTAATCAATTATTGATAGGAACCAAATATAGTTTATATACTTAGTTATTTACACACCCCAAACCACCACAAACATCCAGTTTACAACCACGAAAATTTTTAAAACACCATAAAACATATTTGTACTCCGCATACCATCACAATTCTTTGAAATATCATCATGAAGCATATATCACCACACCATCCAAAGCATCATATAGCAACATAACCCTAGATACCACAAGATTTTTTTTGCTACCTGATATTGAAATCATTGACAACTCTTGGGAGATTCATATAATGATCCTCCTTGCACTTTCTCTCATCTTCTCCCTTCTCTTCCCAAAAAAAATTATGATCTATAGTGTAAACAACAAGAAAAAAGTCCAACCAATCATTGGCTCGCTAAATTCAAATCTAAAACCATATATTGGTATTTAAAAGAGTTCAATCAACAAACATAACAGAATCCACAAGTATCATGCACAAAGTATGAAGCATATTCTACGTACTAAGAACCTCAAAGGCAAAAGAGAAGCAAGAAAAAGAAATACTACAAACACCAGTCAATAAACAGAAACAGAAATAGGGTAAAAAAAAATTAATTATTACCCAGCAATATCGGGCTTGTGTCCAATGCAAACTCAAGATCATATATCTGAACTTGTTGGATTTCCTGCTACAAGTTGGAAAGAAAAATTACAGGGAAGAGAAATAAAAAAAAAAAATAAAAAAAAAAAAAAACATATTCCCTGCTGAAATAAGCACTTACTACTTGCTTGAATAAATAATCATGCTCCCCATTATTTGATTTTCATGTGTACAGCTATGATAATTTATTAATTGCTTGGATAATCAATACTTCAATGGTCACCTTATTATTTAATTTTCATGTCTACAGAATACAGCTATGCTAAATAGACTACTATTCTTATTTTAAAACAGAAAGATACATGAACTCTATATTTTATTTGGTGACATCATATTGTATTCCTACCTGAATCTACCAAGTAATACCCACACTAACAAATGTACAAGTGATTGTGAATCAATATATTTTCAATCTCGTTTACAAGATGGCAAAAAGTTTTCAATGATGTTCACTACATACCCATCGTTGTTAAGAGAGGATTGTTACTTATGAAAGTAGTGAGTAGTGACATACCCAAACAACCAACAAGTCAAAAGATGAAAAACAGGCATATACATGCACACTTACAAAATCATGCCACACAAGAAATACCAAAAATCACAATCCTTTCTCATAGCTCTACTCATCCACAATTCTCTTTATCGCACTGCTTTGGTTATCACTATGGATGTAGGTTAAGAAGCTAATTGTTGCAAATCATATACCGACAAAGTTCCCGACTGATCAACATCTAGTTCTTCAAATCCTTTCATTACAAGTGATATATCATTCTGTGTAATCTTCCCCATCTCCTTCAGCTTATACAATACAAATTCAGCAGCACTGCAAGGTTAAAGAATGTAGTAATAAGCTACAAGGAGCTATGATTCTATTTTATTTTTTTTTAAAAAAAAAAAAAAAAAAGGAAAGAAAGAAAGAAAAAAGAAGATAAACGAAGAGTTTATACTCAGTAATAACTAATAAGAAGAGTTTATACTCAGTAATAAGAAGTAGAAAGGTAATTTGTGCACCATTTTATGATTCAAGGTTTAATTTCATGACATCAAAATCAATCATATAATCATATAAAAGCCTTAATTGATCCCATTATTATACCAAAATACATCTTTTACATGATTAGTTGGGCTTTAACACTATTAATTCATCACTTAAATTCATCTAGTAGTATTATGTATTACATAGTATCATAGATTTTGTTACATCCATTCAGAATAAGTAAATTGTAAGAGCTGAACTAACCTGGTTTAATTTGTGTAATGAGGTTCTTTTAGGATATCCTGTTAAACTTAATTATTCTTTTTTCCATTTAAAAAAGTGATATCTATTCAAACATCCAAAAAAAATATATATTTACGTTATTTGGAATGGAAAGGGAAGATTTTAGTTCAGGAAAAATCAAGGCAATAAATACGGTATGTGCAGCTATTATTTCTCTGAAACATAAAAATGTAGAATGCTATATTTAACACTTACTCTACAACTCCATCGTTGTCCATATCAGCAGCCCCTAGATCTACAATAGTCACGCGTCGAGTAAGAACCCACTTGATAAGGGCATTTTGGCTACTTTCTGTGTTAAGCTCGGCAAGATAGAGGAAGAATTGCCCCAAGCAAATAGTGCTCATTAATATCCACAAAACTGCAAAAGCGCGACCTCCTTCTGTTGAAAAGCTAAAATCTCCATAACCCAAGGATGTCATTGTAACACAAACACAGTAAAGAGCATCCAGAGCATCTAACTTCTCTACAAAAATCAGGAAAACAATCCCACTGATGATAAGTACAAAAAGGATTAGAGCAACCACAACACACTTGTATCGAACTTTCCCTGATTCAATCTCCTTCATAACGTCACTTGGTTGAAATCTTTTGCGCATTTGCAATGCTCTAATGAGCAATGCCTGTTGCTTCTCAACGAGATAATCTGCCCCATGGCTAAGAACTAATCCTACCAAAGCCATCCCCAAGAAGACAAAAGCACAAGCAAGGACCTTAGCGAGGGCACTTTGAGGGACTAAATCACCATAACCGACTGTAGTCATGGTAACCATACAAAAGTAAAGAGAATCAATGATGCTATTACTAGTCTTTTTACCACTTACCTGATCTCTTACTATATAAAAACAAACACCACCAGTAAGAAGGTAAAAAGACAAGTACATTGTTATTTTTTTAAAGCTAGGATGGAGTCTCTTAAAGAGGGATTCAGATGTGAGATTAGGCTCGTGATCAACAGTTGGAAAATCTCCAGGGAGGGACACGATGAGAGGAGCACTTCTAGACCGATTAAGTTTCTTCTTCTTTGCTACATCCTTCTGATGGCATGAGGAAGGGTCAACTGATTCTGATAGCAGGGGTTTCTTTAAGTTGTTTTGATTCTCCATTTGGACAACCTTACAGGCTTTCAGCTAGCAGAATTCCTAAATATCCAGCACAATATTGGAAGTTCAATTCAGTTTCATATATGTCCCTAATTCCTTTAATAACATGGTATTAGCTTTGTGATACACTTTTACCATTTTTTCATTATCATTTATTAATAACATTTACGGAGGCAATTTACTTTGTTCCCTGATAAAATCTTGTACAAAAGCATCATCAACAGAGTGAAAGCTCAAAAGAACGCCATAGGAACATGAAGAAATAAATCTAGTTCATCATTATATCATACAAATTCCTCTTTTCCACTTTAATTTCTTTTTCCAAATATTTGAGATTCTTGGTCAGATAATACAGAAAGAAACACAGTCAATAAAACTATGTTGTATAAATGAAACAATTGAACTTTAATTCAGATATACCCCCTCTATTCCAAATTACTAGTCACGTTGACAATGTAATTTGAATAAGTGTGTGACAAGACTGAAAACTAAATCGGAAAAAGGGTAAATATAGCAAATAATACTCCACAAATCCATATCAAGCATGCACTTGGTGAGTAACATTAATCATGAACTTTGATACCAAAAACAATATATAACTAGAAATCATTGTGATAAACTCGATTCAAAAGAACAGAAAAGTACCAAAAGAAAAAAGGATCTTACCAAGGAGAAGACAATGTACAACAAGATATATGAAGCTTGTAAATTCTATGGAGGACGAAAATAGGATGACAAAAAACATGACTGAATCCTTTCAGAAGGCAGACCGAGTCGGGTTTGGACGAGTTAAACGACAGGGAAGCGTTACACTTGCACACTATCCACTGGCCGGCCATATCTCACCTCAACTCTAATAATTCAGCTATTAATTTGATATCATCAACCAAAAATTAATTCAAATAAACTGCATTATATTTAACCAAATTAAAGAAAATAACATCAGCTTATATGCAATTCCACTCTAAATTTCATATGTATAACATCAATATCCACAATTTAAAGTATTGAATCACAGAATAATAATAATTCAATACTGCTGTACTAAATTGAAGTTCAAAATTAAACAAAATTCTATCAGCATTTTAAAAAACCTTGATAATGTCAAAATTACTTGAATGAAAGCATAATCTTTAACCTAACAAATTATGTATTTAATGTGAATGTCTGAAATTTAAGTAGTAATTAGCATAACAATAAGATTGAAAAATTGAAAATTGTTGAAACCTAAATTGAAATTTGTTACAGAAAAATTGAAATCGAACCATTTTAAAGCAGAATTTGTGGTTTCGTGTAGTATTTTCTGTTGGTATTAATCACCCGCGAATGGAAGCACAGATTTCTGAAAAATAGGTTGCTTTGGAGTTTAACGTTCCCTCCATTTTCTCGCACTCCAGTAAACTTTAATTAAAATTTCATTGTTTGATGATAGTCTATCTAGCGTCATCTTGTCAAGGGGTGTTAAAAGAGCTTAGGTAGGCTCGGCTTGGCTTGAGCTCAAATTTCATCAAGCTTGAGATTTCGTGTAATATTTTCTGTCTTGTCAATGTTATCTTTATGACTCGAGCTTGAGATGACAACATTGACAAGAATCATAAAGATGAGCTCAGCTCGGCTTGGCTAAAGGCTTAAGGCTCAATCAAGGTTTGTGAAGCCCAAAATCAAAAAGGCCTAATGTTACCAATAGTCATTGTTTCAAAAACCATCAAAATTTGTATTTATAACTCTTCACTTGGTGGTTAGCTACTATCTTTCAACATGAGACTATTTACCTTCACTTCTTTTATTGGTTCTTCTTCTATATAAACAACAATAAAACTATGAACGAAAGCTCCAATGCTTAGCGACTCAACGAGAACACAAACATAAGTTTTGAGAATTAATTTTAGTTCCTAAGTTCTAAATATGAAACAAAGTTTATGTTACTAATTGATCTATTAAAAAAAAAAATCTATAATAGATAAAAATACGAGCTTGTTCATGAGCTTTTAGGCTTGGCTCGTGAAGGTCTTGAGCCGAATCCAAATTCAAGTCAAGCCCATTCAAGTCGAGCCTGTATCAAGCTTTAACCAAGACGAGTCTTGAGGACGTTAATTGCTCGTGAACACCCCCAAACACCAAGTCGAAACGTTGGATACATGGGCCTCGTGCTTATAATGGGTTATGAAGCAATGGATAAGGTTGTGTACAAATTCAATTTTGTCAGTGTAGTGTCTAAGAGATTTTTTATATGCACTTGGGGTTGCAAGGTCAATCCAAGAATGTTAGGTCAAATTACTCCACTAACATGTGTGTTATGTGTCAATTATAATGGAACAAAGGAACATAGTAGAGTAAGATCACGTTCTATTCACCTTATAGTTTTAATCAGTAAAAATAAAAAATATCATATATAAATATAATAGTTTTGTTATTTTAACTTGTTTCATTTATAGCATTTATCAAGATATAAATCTAATAGTCAATATCTTTATTCTTAATAAGAAAAAAAAGTTAAAAAAAAATACTTCGTATTATGAATTCATGATAGCATTTTCTTTAGATAATTCAAATAAGATTCAACACGTTTTTATTTTTGTTATGTATAAATCACAAAAGATAATCACATGTGAGTATAAAAGTCAAAATAAGGCTATATTCTCTCCACCTTATTTTTACTGATTCTCTATTATATTTGTTCCTTTATGTTATTAAAATATACAAGTATCGATTAAATTTATTTTTATTGTTGAGCTAAAATTATTTTCACATAACTTATTTTTTTTTATTGAATTACATTAAAAGAGAAAATATAAAGAATTATTAATTTTTTTGACAAGAAGAAAACGGATTCCATTAATAAAGTATAGCCAAACGACACTTACATATAATTCCTAAAAAATCAAGAATTCCAACATAAGTACACACCTTAAAACTAAACACATCGTAGATTTGATTAACAATTGCCTTAATTAAAACAACTTCATCTGAAGCAATACAATATGTGAGTTTGCACTGATTCGGCTTGAAATCCACTGATGTGTAGTCGTTTGAGTGAAAGTACTCATGTGGTCCTTCGGATTCTTGTAGAGATTATGAAACTCAGATCTTCAATTTTCACCAAACAAACACAAAAAGAAAATAAACTCAAGAGAAAAATCATCATCACAAGGATGAGATATATCTATTGAAAGCAATTGAAAGGTTTTTGGGGCTTACCACCAGTAAAAATACCAGTGAAAGCCCCTACAAAAATTCACAACTGAGTCCAAGAGAAAAAGAGATGATAGAGATGGAGAGAAAAGGGAGAAGACAGAAGAAAATCCTTCAAAGAAATTGAAAAAACCTAGTAATTGAGGCTAGGAAAACTCTCCCAAGGAAAAACCCTAAAGGAACCAAAAAAAACCCTCCCAAGAGACCTCTTTAAAATCTAACAATTTAAAATAAATTTTAATTAATAAAACTTAAGCTAATTTCATTAATAAATAATTCGGCTATTTCACCAAATGCCACTAAGTAATTTCGAAATTCACCAAATGCCATCGAACTTTTCAAAATTCATCAAATGCCACCGAGTTTTTAGTATAATATCACGAGTGCCATTAATGACTGACAGCCGTTAGTTGACCTCACCACTTGCCACGTGTTGCCTTCTGATTGGTCTGTTTTAAAAAAAAAATTAAACAAAAAAATTAAAAAAAAACCAAAAATATTTTAAAAAATAATAATAAAAAAACCCAAACCCCAGCCACCACCCCAGCCCCTACCGCCGGGACCTGCACCGACAGGCGTGCCGACGGCCACCAGCTCCCCTCCTCTTCCCCCATCGCGACCCACTGACTACCGCAGCCAACCTCCACCACCAAAAACTCCCACAAACCACAACCATCGAAGAGATTGAAGGATTGTGCCTCTTTCCTCTTCTCTCGCCCCTAACCCGAGGGATTGTGCCGCCATGGCTACGGTCGAAGAGCTCAGGTTAGGGTTAGGGTTCGGTTTTAATGGAAAGGGAGTGGAGACGACAGGGGGTGGGGCAAATCGTGTTCGTCGGCGTCGGGGAAAGGGTTTTAGCGCCGGGCGATGGGGAGGGAGTGTCTTTCGAGGGGAGGGGGTTTTAGGGAGGGGTAAGGTGGTTTAGGGGAAGGGGAGGGTGGTTCGAGGTTGAGGTGGGTGTCGCTGGATCTGGCGCACGTTTTCAGGGGTAGTACGACACCGACGGGAGGTGGTAAGGGTGGGGAGCAGGGTGGGCTGGTGGCAGCAAATGGTGGTTTTAGGTTTTCTTTTTTTTAAGTTTTTAAATAATTTCGGTTTTTTATTAATTTTTTTTAAAAAGGACCAATCGAAGGTGACACGTGGCAAGTGGTGGGTCAACTAACATCCGTTAGTTATTAATGACACTTGGTGAATTTTTTAAAAATCGGTGGTATTTGATGAATTTTGAAAAATTTGATAACATTTGGTGAATTTCGAAATTATTCAGTAATATTTAATAAAATAGCCATAAATAATTTAAAATTAATAAAATTAATCTCAGTTCACCGTTTAAAACGTGGAGAGAACCTAGTCAACATAAATGACCTAAAGCCCTAAATTGTAAACCCTTTAGAAACCTCAGCTCTCAGCCTCCCTCACTCAGCTCTTCGACCAAATTCAGAGCTTCGAATTGCTCTTCAAACATTGTTCCAGTTCTAGGTCAATTTTCATTTTCTTACCTTCACATCTTCCTGTTTAAACGATTTTTCATGCGAATTAATGGTACAATTGATTGAATGAATATGTTTTTTTTGAGAAATTTGCAGAGAAAAAATGGCGGAAAAAGAGGAGCAGGCATTGAATTACATAGAAGAGACGGTGTTGAAGAAGAGGAAGCATAGCGAGGATTGGGCGATTAGAAGGAGGCAACAATTGTTGGAAAGACAATGGAAAATCAAACAAGACAAGAAACTTGCTTTTAAGAAACCTGAGGATTTTATCAAGGAGTACAGAAGTAAAGTAATCTTCTTTCCTTCATTCTTTATTTTCGGTTTTTTTTGACATAATTTTCAGTTTTGCTTGGAATTTTAATGTTGGGTTCATTTTTTTTGGTTATGATTTTGATGGGTATACTTTGATTGGATTTTTTGTGTATGTTAATTTTGTAATAGATGTGATTGGTTGATGCGAAAGTCTGAATTACAATGTTGGATTTGTTATATTGTGGGATTTTTAGGGTTTTCTTCATAGTATGCAAGTAGGATTTGTGGGTGTAATTTGTTATGATGTTTGATGTTATGTTAGGGTGAACAAGAGTTGTAGAAAATTAGCTTGAAATTGCTTCTTTTGGTTTTCGGAAAGTATTTTTTGGGATGAACAAGCTTAGAAGATAGTTTAATAGGTATTATTTCTGTCCGGTGACTTGTAGAATTTGTAATTTTGTTTACAATTTTTGGAGCATTTTTATTGTGGGCTTATAGAGTTAATGTGATGATGTTATGATAGAGTCATAGAGTTTTATTTTGGATTTGCATCTTTGGTTTCAGGCAGCATATTAGCGAAGAATTATACTTCGAATACGGAATAAATTGGCAATGAAGATAGTTCCTTAGGTGTATATTTCTGGGGAGAGTTTAATAGATAGTAGTTTTGTCTTGGAGTGGGTCAATCAGGAGCAGCCTTTCATCTTGCTATGACTGCCCAGCTAGTTTTCTATTTATGTTGATCTCTTATGTAGTGTGCCCTTGTGTGATATGGTCTATATAACTTTGATTATTATGTTTGGTGTTGAGTCTTAGAATGTGAGGTCATTGAGTATATGATGCACCTTTTGAAAGGGAGAGTTATGAATCTTATGATCACGTTGTCTATCTTGCTCATGAGTCATGACATGAGAAATATATAGGTTCTCTGTTGAGCCTACTAATGACAACAATGCTGCCTATGCTGGTTCTATCCTGCTTATTGAAATTAGCCAAATTGGAATTACATTAAAAAGTAAAAAAGATGTGGTTTAGCTTGGTTGGTATTTTCTTGGAAGAAGATTTTAACTTTTAAAAATTAACATTTATCCCCTGTGGGACTTCTAATCTGAACAATAGCATAGTGGCATTTTATGCTAGTGTACTTTAGGCTTTTTAGCTAGTTCTGTTAAAAGTGGTGAGCAAGGAGCTGACACAGGAAGTAGGAATGCTGTTTGAGCTGGGATAGAAAAGGTTTTAGCTTGTCTGGTTTGAGAAATATTTCACTGCTGCTGTCGATTTCCTATGAGTTTTAACTATTGATGAGACAAGGGTTCTGCTCCTACAGAATGGCAAAATTCTTTTGCCATGAGAGAGTTGATTAATTTGGATCTCTTATCCTTTTCAGAAAAATATTGGTGTAAATTGCTGTAAATTATCCCTGGATCGTAGTTCATTATACTTGTGCAGATGTGGCGCAGGATGAACCTAAGTTTTGCAATTGTCCCATCATCCATAGTGGGTAACGGGTACAATTTTCTTCCCCACCTCTGCGGCTCCGCCGCACTACCATTGGAGAAGGTCTTTTGTAGTTTTGTTATACCTGCTCGATCGACATCCCTAGTAATAGAATCAAAATCTTCGTTATATCTTACAGTATTTTTATGTGCCTCTGGTCAGATAATTACTCTTTGGGATCCCTTTCTTCTTAAGAATTGTTTCTGTGGATCTTGTATTTGTCAATTCTTGAGCTGTCCTAACACTGTTGGAGATAGGGTTTTGTGAATATGGGTTTTAGGGATTTTCCTCAGCTTGGATGGTAGCTAGTTTTAATTGTATGCAGATATGGAAAAAAAAAAATCATATTTGTGGTGGTCTGGTAAAATATTCTGTATCACAGTAGTTTGAAAGTATAATATAGGTGTCTTATGTCTGCAATTATCGTTTTGTCACATGTATCAGCAAGCTATACTTATAATTCTGCCTTCTGGGCTATTCTTTCCTATTTTGCTCTTTTGAGTTGCATACATGGTTTCTGAATTGTGAGTTACATTCTCTATATGATTAGGGCTTATTTATTTATTTATTTATTTATTTTATTCATTAATATGTATCACTGTTTACTTATTACTTTTTTTTTTTTTTTTTTATTTTTTATTTTTTTTATTTTATATTTTATCTGAAATTCCAATTTAGCAAATGGATTTGGTCAAGATGAAGCAGAGAGTTAAGAGACGAAAAACTTCCACTGCATCATCATCAAAGCTTCTCTTTGTCATCCGAATTCAGGGGTGAGCTGAGACTTGAGAGCTTGTATCATTGTTTTTTGGGCTTGAATGCAAATTTACCTTTATAGTTACCATTGCCCTTACTTTCTCATTAAATGTGATTTATTATTTTTCAGTAATGCACCTGTTCATCCACAAATGCAGAAGATTTTGAGGTCATTTGGATTGAAGAGAATATACAGTGGTGTTTTCTTAAAAGCAACTGAAGGGACTCTAGCAATGTTGAACAAGGTGGAGCCATATGTAACTTATGGGTAAGGAATAACCTTATTGCGTGCTGGTTATATAGACTATGGCTAATTATATACTTTATTTGATGCTCTTTTGAATTTATCTATTGTCATAATTCTCGTTAAGTCTTGGAATAGCAATAAACATTATGGTCGTTCCTGCTGCACGTTTTGTCTACTACAGAAGTACAAAGTGATGAGTCCTTTTGCCTATGTTGATCTTGTATATCTTCTTGAACTACTGCATGATTCTCTATTTTTAGTTTCTTTTGAAAAGAGAAACTTATACTTTGTATTAGGGAGTGTTGGTTGGGTGTAAAATGTTTTCCATGAAAATGAATTTTCCATTTCCCATAATTATTTTTGTTTGGTTTGTAAACAATTTTCCTTTATAAAGGAAGGGAAACTATATCTTCCTCCCTCCTTCCTATCTCCCTTATACTCTCCTCCCATTTATCCTCTCCCTTACTTTGCCATTTCCCTTCTCCATAACTTTTCTTGCATAGAACCAAAGAAAGGAAGCCCTAATGGTGCAATAGTATTTTCCATGTAAAATTGTTTTACACTAAATATATTTTATGTCAAACCAAATTGAGCCTTAGTCGTTCATTCTTTTGCCGGATGCTTTAACCTGTGGGGATGGGAGCTAGGAGAAGCTAACATGCTAGTATCCTACAGTCCACCTCGTGTATGACTGGCTTTTCTGAATTGTCTAAGCAGTAAGCAGTCTATGGGGTGCTAGCCACATAAAATTTCTAATTGCTTCTTGGCTTTGTTTTGTCAGTCAGTTTTCTGGCCTTTTGTTTTGTATGATCCGGTTTGTATGTTGGTGTGTGCTCTTAGATGATTGCTTTGTACTGTAAATGTAATACAATGGCAAGTATTCATTGATCAAGTTTTCAATCTAGGATTATTACAGTATTTGGTGGCATTTCTATTTTTATTCTGTCCATCATCATTTTTCATTTATTTAAGTTTAAAAATCAGTGCTTGATAAAACACTTTAATGCATATGAAGTCATTAGGTTCTAACGAAGGATATTAGCATTGCTTGTTGTTTGTTTTATTTCTTTCTCTCATTAAAGCCGTCTTAACTAACTGTAGGTATCCAAATCTTAAAAATGTGAGGGATCTCATCTTTAAGAAGGGTCTAGCAAAGGTGGAGAAGGAGAGGGTTCCTCTAACAGACAATAATGTCATCGAGCAGGTATGATAATCTAGAAATTGCTACAGTTACTAATTTCTGATGAGCTGCCATTAAATTTCTTCATTCCTAAAGCATTTATAGCAAGACATGATGAATGTGAATTGTTTCTGTCCAGGCATTGGGGCAGCATGGTGTTTTATGTCTTGAGGATATGGTCCACGAAATTCATTCTGTTGGCCGACATTTTAAGGAGGTAACTCGTTTTCTATGGCCCTTCTCCCTTGCCAAGCCTGAAGATGGATTCTCGGGCAAGAAAAATCTATTCAAGAATGGTGGAGACTCTGGAAATCGCGAGGAAAATATAAACGAGCTGATTGCTAAGATGACTTAGGGCTTGCATAATATGCATAGGTGCATTATGTATCTGAGAATGCTTATAATAGCAAGCATATGTAGACTGTATTCTATAGTGGACAACTTTTTTCAAGTGATATCCAATGGTTGCAATTTTGCTTATACGTTCATTCATGCCCTCGTCTTTTGGTGTTATTAACCTTTTGGTTTTCATAACTTCGATTATAAGTGATGATCTAATTTTTGGAAACAAGCCTAGATGAGCAAGGTTTTTGGGACAAGTTGGCAACTACTGTCGCCCTATTTTAGTATTTCTTTTCTTTCAACCAAAATTTTTTAGTTTGATTTTAATACATTAACAAATGTTCATTAATTGTTCGTAGTATAATATAAATTGGTGTTCCATCAAAATACTTGGCATCTAATATTTGAACAAAACACAAAAAAGAAACAAGGCAACGGAATGTTAATAGAACAAAGGTTTCTTTGCTTCAAAGGGTCATGTTTGAGAGTAGAATAGTCACCAAGGGTTATCAATGAGTAACCAAAAATTTCGGGGTCACCAATGAAAAACTTAAAAAGTGTTTGAGTCTTCATTGAGAATGTTCATAATGTTTATGGGAGGTGTCAATTTGTGTAAACGGGTCGGTCTCGATAGAGTCGGGTTGGGTCTATCTCAAATGCGAGTCTTGTTAAATTTAAGTCAAAATTTGAATCAGATTGTTTTAACGTCGAGTGATCAGATCGAATCGGATCTGACACCTTTATTACGTCATCGTGGGCATAAACGCTACATTGACATATTGCAACCTTCCTTACTCGTACTAAAAAATTCAACTCCCTCCACAATCCACATCCAGTGCCAAACAACACCACAACAAATCAACAATGGAGGAAGGGCAAGACTCATGGACATCAGCAGACAAGCTATACCACATCATCTTCTGCTTCTCCCTAACACTCCTCTTCTCTCTCCTCATCTCTCTCACTCATTCCTCCTTCCTCCGAAATCGCTCTCTCTTCTTCGCCGCTTCTCTCTCTCTCCTCGCCGGCGCCGCCAAAGAAGCCGCCGATCACCTCGGCTTCTTCCGCTCCTCCGGCGCCTCCGCCAAAGACGCCGTCGCTGACGTCATTGGCGTCGTCATCGCTTGCTTCCTGCTTTCTCTCTCCAAATTCTTCCAACGGAAGTCCAAAATTGATGATGATGATGATGATCAGGTTGCCGGTGTTGCGCTTGTTTGAATCGAGTATCACTTTCTCAGGTTATTGCTATTTTCTCTCTCAATTATTCTGAGAATTTTCGCTGAATTTTGTGTTGATTAGGTCAATTTGATTTTCAATTGTAATCTACACTGTTAATTTATCAAGGTTTATTGTGAAATTGAGCAATGAGTAATGTTGCTATTTGTTTTATGAATTTTGTGTTGATGAGTTGCATTCCTAAATCTGTGTTATCAATGCAATCACAGTGAATGATAATTTCTGTAGAGAATTGTTTTAAAATCAGACTATTTTGGTTTGTCATAGAATATTGCATTCGTATCATGAATATATATTGTAGGTCAATGTTGTGAATTTGAGTAAGAAATGTAATCAATGTTATAGGCTTTTATGCCTTTTGATTGCACTGTTCAGTGTTCATCAAGGTTTATTGGGTAATGTCGCGTGTATTAGCGCCCGTGCATTTTATGTCATTATAGCATATTGCATTTGTAATATGAACATGGGGATAAGGTGCATTAGAGGTCAATGTTACGAGTTAAAATTGTCATCGTGGTGTTAGGCACATCGAGTAGAGAATTGTTTTTAAAATCACATTGTTTACGAAGGTTTATTACTCGATATGTGATTTGCATTCTGTGTATCCATTTTAGTTCCATATAGCATATGTAATCCATATGATGCTGTATGTTGAACTTTTTGTTTGATTGATATGCTATTACGTTGTCCTTAACTGTGTTACTTTGTTAATTAGAATCGATGTTGTTTCATGTTAGTTAAGAGTGAGCTAAATCTTTGTTTCTTTTAGTTGTTGAGAATATGATGTTGGAGTCATGAATAATACTCAGGGGTGCCAGTGAAACAGTAGATAAGACTCACCGGTCTATTATTTCCAAGTTTTTTGAATGTTAGGAATATGGACCATTTTAGAAATTTAGTTTGTATTTGGCAATTATGACTGGTTGCTGAAGTCTTTGACAGTGCCTAATTTCTAACCTTTTCCATTCGGTGAAGGGTTTGGAACAAAGAGGTAAAAATGGATACTGGTGAGGATTGAACTTTGTAAGTTCTGAACTAATTTTTTAGATAATTGTAGCTGTTGCTAAGAAAATTGAGGTGATGGCAAGACCTCAAGAAGCAAAAGCTGCCACCCCTATCAGCTAGTATGTATTGTTAAGTGGTCAAGTGGGAAAAGGTTAAGATGTCTAACTATTACCATGAAGACTATTGGAGAAGAACTGACGAAGTAACGCAACAAAAATAAGATAGTCAAGGATTCATCCACTAGATGAATCAGGGGGAGAAAGAGGGTATGAGAAGAGGTAGTGAGAGGGGAGGAGGGTAGAGGACACATACTCCTCCTGGAAATGTATATGGTTAGAAATCATGGTGAGAAGAGGATGCTGAGGAGGAGATAGTGAAGAACTGGGCTTGAATTTTTCATCCTAACTGTTATGTTTTGTTGTAAGGGGAAGGAAAATTGAGCCCTCCAATTTCTTCCCCTTTCCCTATCCTTTCTCAATTCATATCACATGATTGAATGTTGATCCCTTGCTCTCTCGCAGTCTCGCCCTTCCACTCCCTTCTTAGTCTTAACCTATCGTTGTCTTAACAGAAAAGTGTATAATACGTGAATATCCTGAACAGCAGAGTGTAGGTGTGTGTTACAACTTAAGATAGCTGGCGGTTTCATATGCTTGTCACTGTTGCTGATATGTGTCTATTGCTGTGAGCCTGTGATAATCTTTTGTTCTCTATTCTTGTCTCTGTTGTGTCTCATCCAATTTTTGCAAACATGCATTTATTTGTAGTTGGTCAGCAAAACAATTTAGCAAGCTTAACTGTTGGCATATCCTTGAGATACTTGATTAATTATTGTAATGGGTGCTTTTAGAAGGCTAGTTTATAGTATGACCTACTGCTCAAATCATTAATGCAACTAAGTGTTAAGCTTATTCAATTGTATTTTACACATTTCTGAATTACAAATACAGTAGTTTCTTGAAGCACTTTTAGTGATCTCCTTTTTTCGGGGGCTGGTAATTATCCTTATGATGGCAAGGAAATTTACTTTTGAGTGATTTTGTTCAACTTTCTCGTTCACTCTCTATTGCTACTCTTTGACAGACTTCTTTGAGTTGTAATTTCCTTTGATCGTTGTTGTCACTGTAGCAACTGATACTATATTTACTACTAGTGCTTTATTTTGATTCACACTTGTACTTCTGCTTGTGGTGTCTCTAATTGATTGATCGACATTTATGCTCAGGTACTGTGGATGGCAGTTACATAACCGGCACGGATCTCAAATTCTCAATACAATGACTTTTGTTCTGCTGAAGAGGAGCAGTTGGCCATCTTCTTTTATGAATTTCCCATCATGCAGGTTAGTCTGAACTATTTCTTATTCTCACTTATTTTGTGAACAGTCAATTGTTGCTTTTAGGATATTCACTTGCCTGTTTAAGGAACCCTTATTTTAGGAGTATTGCCTTGTTTTTTTTTTTTTTTTTCCTTCCCTTCTTATGTGTGTGTGTGTGGTGTATTTTGTTGAATTTCTATTGGGTCCTTGTTCTTTGTAGTTAGTTGTATAGAGAGTTTTTCTTCCTGTATTATTTTTTGGGGGATGGATTAGTCGGTCAATGCATTGATATATATCCTTTGGGGATGGATTGACACGGATGAGTACGAGTCATTCTTGTGCTGATGTTTTGAAAGGGGGCATAGTTGATATTGGCTGGTGCCAAATCTATAATCCTATAATTAATAGCTGACATTGCAAGAGAAACGATGTGGTGTGATAAGGACCAGTCGTGCATAAGAGACATGATCATTGCTTGACAGTTATTAATGATCTTGACATTGCACCAAGAGAAATGAATAACTTCCAATGAGCTGTTGAAAACTCAAAACTCAGTTTTCATATAGGTCACATTTTTTGCGATTGACATTATACCATTTACAATGCACACAGCAACTGGATACTAGTTGTCATTTTGCTCACAGAAAGCACCATCATTCATTCTGAATAATTCACCTTCTGAAGCTTGCTGCTGCTGAGGGCTGCTTGAGGGCATCTTCATCCTCCTCTGGCAACTTGATGGCAGAATAGACACCTGCCCCACAGAGTGCCCCAAGAATTGGGGCGGTAAAGTAGATCCATATCCCTTTATAGTTATTTGCAGCTATGGCTGGCCCCAGTGTCCTCACTGGGTTCATTGATCCTCCTGTAGTTGGCCTGTTGAAGAAAGAAAAATAAAATTTCATAGTTTGCCGTGCTATGTGCTGGCCTATGGAGATTGATTAATGGGACAGGGAATATTGTGGTACATTAATATTGTGTTTGCATGACATGTATTGTTTTGAGTCAACCCATACTTGACATAAGCTTCCCTTTTAACAATGGGATCTAAATTTCATGACAGATGATCTTGCGCAACGGCGCATTAGTGACGCACTGAGATAGTTTCATCATGGAACGCATTTAAGAATGTAACACGTAAGCTACTCAGTGAATGAATGTACATGATTGAACCTGACGGTGAAAATAAACTTTTTTGTCGCGTTCTCTCCTTATTTTAAAATGAATCTGTTAAATAATCTAAATTCCTCTTTTTGAGTGAGTGGTTTTGTTCCCTTCTTAAAACTTTCCCATTTGTTAATACCCGAGAAAAATTCGTCAAATATGAATATAATACCTTTTGCTTTTATGTCACAACACGTATTATGTCTTATTTTTCTTCAAGTTGTTTATTGATGTGATGTAAGCAATATAAGTTGGGTACTTATTATCAGACAAAAGTTTGTTTTCTCAAAACAAAACAAAAATAATACGGAGTAGAAGTAAGATTAAAGTTTGTTACTATATAGATATTCTGGTTTATGCATGTTATTATACCAATCATGTCCATTTTGGACTATTGCGTTACCTTGTCTAATCAAATAACATAGACATATTATAAATGTCTTCTTTCGTCTTGGTTTATGATTCGACACCACTAGAAATTAGCAATTTTCATTTATCAATGATTACAGAGCTATCAAAAGTATTATAATCTTGTCAACCATTTATTAAGACTTTCATTAAATCTGAAAAGTGCTTGTCAATTTCAAATTAGAAGTTTTTGTTACCTCGAGAATTTTTATGCTTTTTATCTTTCTTCTTATTTCCTACATACGAAGTATTGTTAATTTAAAACACAAGCTTATAAAATTATACTTAACCCTTTCTTGATGTGGAAATCTCACTTATAAATTTGTTTAATTGTTTCTTCCTAAATATGCTACAATACAACATTCTGAATTTGACCACCCGATGGGTGAAGCATGAGTAAATTTTTAGAATCTATTATGATTTAGAGGGGGTGAGGTGTACTTACCCAGCTATAAGTATGTTGAGCATGACAGTTGCCCCCACTGCAATTCCAGCCAGTTCTCCCACCTGCAGAACATCACAAATGTTTTTTCAGTTTTTCTTAGCTCCTTCATGTTAATAGATTCCTTATACCACTTTGTCTTTCTTCATAAAATAGTGCAGTGTGAGGAAAGGACTTTGTAGATACCCTTTTCCTTATGGTTTACCAACATCATAATAAAATAAGTCATTTACAATAGTTTTTATAGTTATATCTATTTAAAATATAATAGTCTGTGTTTACTTGCTGCAGTGGTGGGTAATTTTTAATTGCTAAGTAGAATCCACTAAACATTAATGCTAGTCTCTAGTAGGCTGTGCATATTAAGTCTTATCCATGTACAACGCCTTTTGTTCCAAACAATTTCTTTATTTTTGTAGTTTTGAATGTGAGGATTGAAGTGCAAAGTTATATGACTTTCTTGAAACTATTTCATCATGGTAATTTTGTAATTTTTTTATTAACGTTGCAAACCCTCACTGAAGCCAAGAATTTCTATTTAGTATCTCAGAGCTTGGATTTTTCTTATGTGAGATTCCATGCATTTATTTTTTTGGAATTGTTTAATTCTGAAGAATTCTCTCTCTCTATCTTTTTCATGAATATTTAAAAGTGAAAGCTTGATTAAGAGGAGACATTCTTAAAGAAGTATTTTTTTTGGTAGAGGCATTCAAAAGTACGGGGTAAAAAGAAAATTTTGATGCTTACAGCTCTTGTGTCGGTGGCTACTGCAGTGACAACAAACATGAGATTGAAGGCGATGATGAACTCTAATGCAAAAGCCTGACCATAATTCACTGAAGGAACAGTTACACCTCCACCCATGATAGGGTGGAAAATTGCTTTGAGAATAAATGCAGCGCATAGAGATGCCAACGTTTGTGCTCCTATGTATATTGGAACCTACATAATTAAATAAAGAAAAACGTATCTGTATTAAGTATTTGTAAATCATATCAGTGTATTAATAAAGGTAATTGAAGATCATAGTTTTGGTTTCTTACTTGAGTCCATGGAAAATGTCTCAGTGCTGCAAAGGCGATGGTGACAGATGGATTCAGATGGGCACCGGAAATATGGCCTGTAGAGAGAATGATGATCATGACTGCAAGGCCACTGGAGGCAGCAAGGCCGATTAGCGTCTCTGATCCATCCGTCTTCTGATTCACAATAGCAGTGGCTGCGCCCGCACAGATTAGTATAAGGGTACCGACGAACTCTGCCACCACCTGATGTAATTGGGCAATTATTAGTCAGATGCAAAGACAATTGAGTTCAGTCAGATGAAGGTTCTTTCTGTTTTCTTGCCCTTATACAAAGTACTCTTTTTTTATTGTTTGATATACAACAATGGAAAGATTTTCTGAATAACATAATTTCCCTGAATTTCGAAATACTGATAAAGTTAGAAATTTACCTTCTTTGTTAAAGGAACCGGGGGAGGGGGCATTGTAATGCTGCAGGTCACAGCGGGCAAGCCACCCTCCTCATTAGGCCAAGTATCTACAGTGAAACAATTGGATCTCCTACTGAGAAGTGACTTCTTTTTAGGCCTATCGACAGCAAAGCCTCCGAAGAGGGGAGCCCCTGGAGTACCTGGGGTTACCGGGGTCGAAGGCATAGAAGGAGGATCCTCAGAATCCATTTTTTCCATTATGGCAGAGATAAGCTAAGGTTTGTGAGTACTTGTTTATTGGCTAATGTTTATCCAAATTTCAGTATAGCAGTATTTATATAGTAGTTACTGTTGAAGGTTGACTTAGGAGGGGGAATCTCTAGACTAGGAAAAGAGAGAAAAGAAGTTAGTGGATGAAATGGAAGAGCAAAAGAGAGTTGGCTTTCATTTGGTGCAATGTACAAAATGGTGGTGGGACATTACAGGCCTGTTTTCCCTGCTTGAGATTTCTTTATAAAGGAGCTTTAAGCGTTGGAGAGATTAATCATGATGTTTATTGCCACTTAAAAATTCCCAATGTGTATGATTGCCCCCCTATAATTATGGAGAAGACCACTCGTTTAGCTCAATTAGTTGTCACTGTAACACTGTCAGATCGAGTTTGGGTTTGAAATTTGTCATAAAGAAATAAGAAAGGCCGCCGTCTTCCTAAAAAACAAAGCAGGAAGGTGGAAGAGGCAGGAGAAAGGTCAAGATTCTGATTGTTGTTTCTCCCTATTTACCCCTCACCGTTCTTGTGTCTATTTTTCCCAATATAAAGTACGCATAACTTATATGAAATTGGTCTCACCACAGCATCATTCTCACTTTTAATATAGCTAGTATAAGGGTATTCTTATTTTCCTTTGTTGAGGACTGAGGAGTAACTTTTAATACTCTTCCTACCTGAATTAATAGTTACATATACTCAATTTAGGGTGTCTGAAAGAACTTATTGCAATAGAAATGATCAATAGTCTCAAATAAGTTACTGAGTACTTTTCTTATGGGATGCTGAAGAGGATAGAATTAATACTGATGCGAGTAAGTCTTATGTGTATCATATCTTATATACTTCCTCCGTTCTTTTTTTATCGCATCACTTACTACTTTAGGAAGTTTACTTATTATTGCATCATTTCCTTTTTATGATAAAAAATATCTATGTTCACACTGCAAATACCCAACATACCCTTACTTTTTCACACTTACTTTTTATTTTATCTTACATTACATGGACAATTTTGTATTTTTACGTTTTTCTCTCTTACTTTTTTCCACTACCAAATTTTGCCTCCAAAACCTTATGATGCAATTAAAAAAAAAAAACGGAGGAAGTATGAGGAATTAAACAATGCAAATAAGTTTGAGCGAGGCTGCGAGGGTTTATTATGCCATGGCACCATCCTGTACAATTGAGGAAGAGATTATATATACATAGTGTGAATTGACACGAGTGATAATACCTATTAGCAACTGAGAAAAGAGAAATTCAAATTAATAGAATAAGGAAAAGAAAAGACAAAAGGTGAGAAAAAATATGAAGTGGGTAGGTGAGTGGGTTTGTGGAGCTCAAATGAATACGAGCCTTAAGTGTTTGATAAATCCTACTTTTAGGCCGAGATCAATTTCAATAGTGTACTGAAATTACTTTTTCTTTCATCTTTTGTTCTACTGTTGTTAATCATCAAATGATGTTAGTATAGCATGATGGCCATAGATCATCCCTCCGACTTGTTGGTGAAACTCTATAATTACTTTTGATTTTTTGACTTGTAAAATCATAAAGTGACACTAACCATTGAAATAAAAGTTATCTCAAAATTAGTCAAAGTTACTCTAAAAACTGGTTAATTTTAACTCAAATTGACCGTTTTACAATAACTTTAATACTTTCTCTATTCTCCTAATATTGCAACATGGGTGAGGGACACGGATTTTAAGATGAAGAGAGAGATAGAAAGGAATAAAGATGTGGACCCGTGTGATGAGGATAGAGAAGGAGAGAAAACATATACAAATAGAAAAGTGTTGCAATATTTGTAGAACTTCCTAAAATGATAATTGTTGCAATATTTGTGGAACGGAGGGTGTGATGGTCTCACATAATGCTTGTTATAATAATACAAAGTATATATCAAATAAATTACATTGTCAATTTGACACATCCTTAAAAAAATGTAGAATTATACAACCTTTGTTTTTGACGGGCTTTTTTTGAATAGATCCTGACTTGGGCTTGCTTTGATGATGGGTAGGCTTGTCGTGCTTTCGCCCTTCTGTGGGCAAGCAGACTACTTTACTAGCTTGAATTCATTCAAAGTACAAAAGTGAACTTACTGTTCATGAGGTCAAAATAACATAACTTTGACCGTATTTTATGACTTATACAAAAGAAAATAAGTTAGCTATATGAGCTTTTATTAGATTAAGCTAAGTATACTTTTTAAAATTTTTACTTATACATAGTCAAAAATATTAATGGTCAACTATACACAACATACAGTGAGTCGAATTTTAAGGAACGGAGGGAATACTATAATTTATGAAATTATGTGATCTGGGTATAGTTGTGGTGCTTGAGAAGTGAAGATACTTGTAGAAGATCTCTTTACGTCACATGGTATGAGCTTCCGGGCTTCCACCATTATATTAAACTAATACGAAGTATACTTTTAACATAAATGTCTGAGGAATCATTATGACTTTAAATAACAAAATTATTCACTTTTCATGTAAGTGCTGATACAGTTCATCCCTCTGTAGAGAATTTGATTTTTTTTTTTTTTTTTTTTTTTTGGTGTTAGGTAAGATGAAGGGCTTCACCGGGCCAATTTGTATGTTGTGGTAAGTAAACATAGCATCAGAGCCCATGATGGAAGGGTCCTTGCAACTGCAAGAGTTCATTGAGTGTCTGTCGAGTAGACATACATGGCATTCGGACGCCCCATAATTTTATTCGAACAACGCTAAACAATGGAACTGCTAACATTCCTGCAATAAACTGTGATTTCAAGGGATATTTGCATATCAGAACATCCCATTTTCCAAATATAGGAAGCCCCTAGTTATTTACCAAGGTGATGCACATGCACTGATGCTAGTGTTATGTTGCTTATTCTCATCATTCATATAGAGGACTAAATTTTTTATGCTCCATTAATATTAGTTTCTTTCTTCCATCCCTCTTATCTTTACTGTATTTACCGTAGATACTGTCTACAGAGTCAGATTATAATTATGTAATCATTTGGCAAAGACAGTAGGTTCGAGAACACGTCTTCAAATGTAGCAAGTTTCCATTTTCATGTGGTGAAAGTTTTAAGAATGTGATGAGTTTATGTCTAAGCAATTGCCACGACGAACTCAAATTTAACTAATGACTGTTATTTCCTGCTGGTACTGACATTGTCTCATAACAGTTCCATGGTTTTACAGGGCTTAACATTGAAGAGTTGGCCTAGTCCTTTCTCATTAAGGATGATACCTCTGGGTGAAGAGACGGATAAAGTTTATGCAAAGAGTAAATATCTTCTAGAAAAATGAGTATTAGTATCTAATACATAATACAGCATGTAACATAAAATTGACTTTTGGAGAATCCTTAGTTGGGAGAAGAAATATTTTCACGTACTGCCAGTGAATTATACATTCATTGTAATATGTTTATTATTATGCCAGAAATTGCCTAAGTGATAATCATGTTAGTTTAGACAACGACGATTAGACTATAACAGGAAAATAAGAGGCAGAATCCAAAGTGCGGATATAAAGAGAGAGAGCCACAAAAACTAATGATATGGAAAACTCAAGAAAAAGGGGTAAAATTGTAGATGGCTATGATTTCACCAATCCATTATGATTTGGAGATTTTGGATATTTAAGTCATATAATATGTGTTTGTGTATACGTATGAAATAATTGTAAAAGTATTAACATCGTGAAACATGATTGAAAGTTTATATAGAAATTAGAAACAATTGTTACACCCAAGACATTTTAATGTAGACAGAATCTATACATGGTGTTGTTGATGTGTAGCAGAGGTGGCAAAATGGCATTGTACACGATTACCTGATATGAAATCCAACAAATCTATCTGACGTGACATGAGCCCAACTCAACCCAACTTATTCTTGCAATCTTGCTGTTAATTTGTACTCCGTGTATAATACAAATTATGAAATTATTATACTTGTTAAATTACTTTGGTGAAGACTAGCATTATTGCATTAATCGACCTGACCTCGAAGGGTATCCGAACAAGACCCGACCTAAATTCAACACGACACACACCCGACTCAGATAATCTGACTAACACTTCTAATGTCGAGGCGATCTTTGAATACAATAAATATTATGAGAAATCACCCAAGTAAGAATTTATCCAAACCAAACAACTTATTTAGTACTTGTATATTTTTTTTAACATTTTACAACATTAAAAGTATATTGTTTGTAGTGAATGCCAACTAGTTTAGTTAGTTAAAGTTTAAGGGGTACCTTATAATTCCGATCATATTCTGTCTATGCGGGGAATTTTTTTTTTTTGTACAATGACCCAATATACAACAACAGCCCAAATTCAGAGAAATTATCAGCCCACTAAAATAACCTCACTAACCGGCCCGTTTTCTTTTGCCTTGCTTTTTGTCTTTACGACGTAAAACTCAGCGGCAGTAGAAATTAGAGAGTATAAATATATACCTCATTCAATTCAATTTCCAAATAAAATTATCACTCAACTGCGAGAAAATGGAGGGAAAGCGTTCAACTCCAAAAACCAGCGATTTGCTTCACAAAATCAGAGGTAAATTCCTTTTTAATTTTCGTAATCGAAACCCTAATTTCATTCACCATAATTTAAATTCCACAATTTCAGCTAATTCATCTTCATCCTCATTTTGTTTTTGATTTTTGTTTGTTGTTGCAGATTTTAGTCGTTCGATTCTCGTAGATATTTGCAATGGCCGATCTCCAGTGGTTTTGATCAATAAATTCAGAACTTACTGCACGAATTCTGCTGAAAATTGGTACAACTTCTGAATTTCGTCCTATAATTTTCAATTTAGATTTCAAACTTCGTGGAAGTAGAAGTATATGTTGTTGATGATTGAGTTTATACTTGTATGAATTGGTGCTTGCGATTTGGATGTTTATGCTAGATACGAGTATATGATTTGGATTTATAGAGAAGTTGACAAAATGCAGCTTGTTAACTTGTTTAAACATGGATTTCGTATTACTCGTGTTTCCGAGATTAGTTATTTAGACACAATTTGGAAGTTTGAGGTTATGCTTATATTCATGAAAGTTTCACATAGTGCAACTTGATTAGGTATGCTAATGGATTTGGTTCGGTTTTTTTTTTTTTTTTTTTTTTTTTTTTTTTTTTTTTTTTTTTTTTAAGTGTGTTGTTCATTCTTGTATGATCTTCGAATTATTTTTCAGTTATATGTTGATTTAGAAGTACATGTAATTGATAGTTGAGTTGATATCCATGTAAATAAATGCCTTCCTTCGGAGATTCATGTTTCGTGTATAATGCTGAAGACATAACTTATTTTTCCTTTTAAGATACATTGACATTTTGCAACTTGATTGGACATGCTAACGCAATTTTGATTTTAAATCTGTGTTAGAAGTATAATAATGATTTTGACTTCATAAATTATTAATACTCCGTATATGATTTAATTTTAGAAACAATGGAAATTTATGTCGTATACACGAGTATATATAAGGCCGATGAGATTTTTTTATTTTTCTCAATTTGAAAGTATGCAGCGATTACTTGTAAATTTTTCTTTGTGGTCTTACCTAGTAAATACTCTGTAGCAAAATTATATTTTCTATTGTTTCTCTCTGGAAACTGAGATTATGGGAGCAACTGAAGCTCCATGTTATGAGTAGAACCACGTTCTGAACAAGCTCTTTGTAACATAAGTTCTGGCATTGTGGTTTTGAACACGACTGAAGCTGGAAATTATGTATTATATCTAATGAATTGGAAGCTGATTTAGGGTTCTCTCTATATCAAGAATTATTAAGATCTTTTCAAGTTTCATGGTATCTTAAAAAATAGTTGTCAATTATATGCTCTTGGAATCACTTAACTAACTGTTATTCCAAACTAAATATTTTACGGGGTGGAGGATGTGCATTTTTCAAGATACTTTCATGTTTATGTTATTCTACTGCTGTATGCAGTTTATGCAGCTCCAGTTTGCCAGTAGGAACAGAGGTACTTACCTTGCGAAGGCAACCACATGCTCATAGGATAGGTAACTTCCATTCTCAGAACACAAACATATAGTCTTATTGCTTACAGATGTTTTGTTACCATTATTATACTATGCTTCATATTCCATTCATCTATTTTACTTTCACTTTTCCGCCAGATATTTTGCTAAGGGTGTTGCTAATAGTTCAGCAGCTTCTACAAGAAAACAAACATGCGTCAAAACGAGATATATATTATACTTATCCATCTTTATTTTCAGGTGTGCTTCCAGTATGAAAAATTATTATAGAATTGCTGAGGCTTGCTACAGTTTTTACTAATATATTTTATTCAAAGATGCTTCTACCACCAGTCTGGTAACTGAATCATTCACTTCTCCAATATTGGAGTGCACACTCATTTAGAGTTCCAGCTGTCTCTCTTTCCCTAGAAATACTATTGACCTGGTTTTATAAATGCAGTAGACAATTTTTATTAATGATTATCCTCGAATCTCTCCACTTCTGTTGTTTCTCTTTTAATTTCATCGGAAACTAATTGTAACTTTTCTTACTAAGGTACTTCTATTGTCTGTGCAGATCAGTCTGTTGTAGATCGTGCCATAAATGATATATGCATACTCCTTGAGTGTAGTCGCCACAATTTAAATGTAGTGAGTATACCTCGTTTTCTTCTTTCAATATTTTTCCCTTTTCGGATATGGCTCAGCTAATCCTGTAACTTGGGTATAGTAGCTACTGTAGATCAACTTTGAACTAAATGGCTAAATTTTATGACTTGAAACTTGAATTTATCATTATATTAGAATGCTTATGTTAGCAGGAATCATATTGTGCACTGTGGTATCATGGTGCTCAATCGCTCGTTCACTATTGTATTTTTTCTATGATATCGCTTTGTGCATGTCTGTTCCTAGTGGCTTATTGCTGAATGCTGATATGAATTAGTTGATTACATTATCTTTGGTACCATGGGCCATGGCTTCACGCTGGTCATTCACAATAACTTTTGATCTGTGCTCTTTATCAATGAGAAGTGAATTTAAAATTCCAAATCTTTAGAATAACCCATAACTCTATTATCCCTTATGTCTTGCAGGTATCTGTCGCAAAAGGGTAAGTTTAATCTATCAATTATACCGGTTATCTTCCTTTTTATTGTTTATTACTCATTTTCCACCTCTCCCCCTCTCTTTCATGGTGGAGTTATTCTACGCTGCCGCAGCATTGAAATTACTGACAATCACTTTAGAAGTACAATCTTGCTTTTTATTCTTAGTTCTTGGGATCATTCCTAATCCAATTTTAATGGGCTAGTAAAAACGCCTAAGATCAATGCGCTGACAAAATAATTACAGACATCCTTAATTTTTACATCTGCTGGCATCATGACTTCAATTTCTTCTTTCAAATTTTAACTCATGCTATTAGCATTTTGTGAACTTTGATAGCATGTTCATTTTAACTCTTTCTTAGGTTGATGATGGGCTGGATTAGGTTTTCTGAAGACGGAAGGAAGTTTGATTGCATAGCTAATCCTAATACTGTAAGTGTGCTTGGTATACAATGTCATTTCATGGAATAAAGATTTATATTCAATATTCATATGCAGGTCTTGTTTTGCTTCAGGCTCAACCTGTTCCTGTCCAAGTTGAAGATGTTCATGATATCCATAAATGCAATAGCTTAGCTATGAGTTGAATATTGACATGATGATATGCATGTTTCCATTAGATGCTGGCCTGTTTAATCAATCTGTTTGCAGAATATATATGTGTGCTAAAAAGTAAGATTTTTCTTGACGATTTGATTAGATATTCTTAGTTTTGCTGAATACGTCTTAGTTGTGGAGAAGGAGTCAGGTAATACTCTTTCTTGATAAACTCTGGGGTACTCATCCTTGTGATAAATGAACCTTTCCTCCAAAATCTTGCAGTTTTCCAGAGACTGGCGAATGATAAATTTTGCAGCCACAATCGATGCATTGTTATTACGGTAATGTACAAGCTCGTGTTTTTTTTCTTCTTCTTCTGAAATTTAGTTTTTAATTGTAGCTGTTTCAGGGACGTGGATACCCAGATGTTCCTACAAGAAGGTATCTTTTAGCCTTTTGATAGTGTGCAAAGTTAAAAATGATATGTCAGTTTCTGATTTAAGCTCTATGATTTTCCTTCTCAATTGATGATTCCACTCATCTGTTTTTCATGGTATGCATGAATTTACACATCCTTCAGATTTTTGCGCCTCCTTACTGAGAAGCTGCATATTCCTGTATATTGCTTGGTGGATTCTGATCCATATGGGTTTGACATCTTGGCCACTTATCGATTTGGCTCTATGGTTAGTAACATCTATAACCGGTGCCAGTTGCTTTTTTGTGGCGCATGTGGCAATAAGGCATGGTGATGTTTGCAACATAATATGTTGTGAACATTCATAATGTTTTTAATTATAATTACCAATAGTAATTGCACTTTTGTGGTCAGATAGTCTGAATTGATTCATTGCTGTTTAAATTGTAAATATTTTTATTCGATTTCCTAGGAAATGGCGTATGATGTGGAATGTCTCTGCATACCGGATATCTGCTGGCTTGGTGTTTTTACATCTGATTATGAAAATTATGCACTTCCCTCACAGTGTCTCCTTCCCTTGACTACTGAAGGTAAATAGAAATAACATATGTTTTCTTTAATCAAGTGGTAAGACTTCCCACTTTCATTTTTCTATTTTTTTTTTTTTAAATTTATTTGCAAATTACTTTAACTTTCTTGCTTCCTTCGTTCCACTAGATAAGAAGAAAATTGAAGCACTGTTACATAGGTGTTACCTGCAGCATGAGGAGCCACATTGGAGGTCTATTTCACCACTTAATTTAAGCTGTTGTAATTTGTCATTAAAATGTCTGTGTGTTTGATGATATTTATTTATTTATTTATTTTTTTTCTCTTTTGCCATTCAAGACTGGAACTAGAGAAGATGCAGGATAAAGGTCTAAAGTTTGAGATTGAAGCATTGTCTGTCCACTCACTTTCCTTCTTGTCAAAGGAGTACTTGCCATCAAAAATCCAATGTAAGAGCGTCTGTTCAATTTATTAGATTATTTACTAGTATTTGTAGATGCTTAAGCGTTACATATAAGTTGATGGGCTAATGTTGATACTTACCTGTCCTGTTTTTTGCTTGATGGAACTAAGAAATACATCGTGCATGTGATTCATAAACTTGGAGATTTGTTATTGCACAAGCTCCTCCATCTAAAAAGGGGTATAAATTGCACATTTTGTATACGTGTTCGTGTGTTACATATCTCATTGGATGTATTTTTCCGTAGAGGCGTGATGATATTTTTTGATTTCGTCTAGTGATTTGCGCATTGAGTTACAGTACCTTTTTAACTGAGTTATTAATGTTGAGGGACTGCACGTTGCACAAATCAGAATGCAAATTGATCATTGGCGTCCATGTCATGCTGGAATGATAGCTTAGGCAGTTTGCTACTAATTTGTTAGTTAACTAAATTAGGTGATCAAAGTGCTCATTGAAGATCTATTTTTGATTATTTTATTTTATCTTATTTTATTTGGTATTCAGTGCACGAGTAAATCTTTTGCCTTGTTTTATTTTTCTTTTTCTTTTTTAAGTTTCATGTCTTGCATTACTTTGAAACCAAAAGCTAAAGATGGCAGGATTTATATTACCTCCGTTTTATATTATTTGCAACATTTTCCAAAAATGAATGGTTCATATTATTTGCAACAAATGTTTTTTTTTGTTTTTTAAGTTGTGATTTCTCTCTAGCTCTCTCCACATAACATGCATCTCTATCTTTCTCTCTCCATTTAACATTTACAAACTAATTTTGCCTAGGATTCTATACAAACTCATTTGTTGCAACTAATATGAAACAAAGGTAGTATTTTTATTGTTGTCAAGAAAGAGAGGGTCTCTCTATTTTAAATCAAACATATGTTTTTCTGGAGAAATTGCATCATGTATACTTCTGAAACTTCATGCATTCTGTAGCAACAGCAGGGTTTCATTTGTTATAGATATCTTAAGCGTGCTGTTCTGTAATATTAATAGCTTCATATGTTGTTATTTCTTGACTTCCACTGAGAAGAACTTCTGTACTGCTGTTTCAAAAAAAAAAAAAAAAAAAAAAACCTTCTGTACTGCCAAAAATGGATCTGGTTGATTCATTATTGTTCGCTGATGTATTTGTGGATCATTTTGATTAGTTTGCGGGAGTTAGATTTAATTCTCCATGATTTAATTATGTTCACTAGTATTTTCTATCGCTTTAAGACTAAACTAGAACATTCCGGTGGTTAACTGGTTATAAGGACTTGTTCATTCATGGATCCCACATAATAATGAGGTTTAATGCCAAATTAAAGAAGGAGACAGACTATGTTACTGTGCTGATGGACATCACTGGTTGATAGGTTTATAAAGCTTTCTCTGTTGTCTATTATATTGCTTTCAGGAAGAGTGTTATTTAGGTCTTACTTTCAGTTTGGAAAATTCTTCCCCAGCTAAATGTATGTTTAGTTTTGTAACTGCTCATGGAATGTACTTAATGGTTCTCTTTATTTTCAGTTCCCCCCCTAAATTCTCCTCTTTCTCACAGGCATGTCCCAAATGTCTCGTTTGATGTCGTTTTGATGGACTATTTTTCCTTGTCTCCAGTTCCGTTGCAACCAGGTACAGGTGGTCTTGCCATATAACTAAAGATAAGCATTAATTTGAAGGGGTTATCCCATTGTCTTTTACATTGTTGAATTGCAGTCATGCATAGAATAGACATGAGTCTGAATCATATTTAGATTGACTTAACCGTTAACACAGGGACCCAGTGTGGAAGAACTTGGATTAAAAAACTACAGAAGATGATGAAAATGAAACCAATTGAGGATTTATCCAGACAAGTATAAAGATGTGATGGATTCTTTGGCCACCTGTGCTTTACTAAGTAAGTAGACGAAGAAGATCTATCTCTTTCATCATCTCAGCAATTAATGCTTCATGTGCTGCATAAATTGTTTTGTTTTCCTCCAAGAACCAAACTTCCTAGGCAAATTTGTCGACCTGCTAGTGTTTCATTTCACATAATTAATGCTACGGAGTATATTGTTTCATGTTATGTTGTCTAAGATACACATGCTATAGGTGTCAATACATAGATTAAGATATTTGCTATATTTGTCTAGTATTGTTAGTAATTTGAAAGCATGCTTAAGAGCGTACACTTTAGAGTCTAGAAGTCTTAGCATTTTCTAGGAAGAATTACATTGAAAGAGATAACAGTGGCTTCTTCTAAGCTTGCTGACTGAATTGAGGTCCAAATATATTTTGGATTGCACTTATCTTTTCCCGTCTCTTATTGTAAAGTGGATGACGTGTTCCGGGTCCATGAAGCTATTTACTATCTATCTTTTCTTTTTTCTTCAACCCATTCATTATATTTGCGAGGGTCGGCAGCTCTGTTTTGTGGCGTCTTGTTTGAAGTTGTGGAAGAGCCATATTTGATTATCCCCTAATCATTGAGTTCTTTGGACTTGAGCCTAACATAAGTTGCAATCAGGTAACTGTTAGTAGGCCAGTGTATGGGCACAGAATTGTGGAGATTCATTAGATTTCAGCTTGTAGGGTGACCCAGGATAGTGTGAGTACTTATTGAAGGGGATTCAGTGAATCCTCTCTAGTAGTCTCATCTTACTAGAGACGAGGGTGAGACTGATAGTTGGGGATTAGGTAGTTTATATTTGAACCTTCTATAGTTCTATAAACTTTTCAATGGCCGGACACAAATTAGGGCAGTATTGCAGTAGTGGTTGTAGTTAGTGATTATGAAAGGGTGTTTTCATGGAGAAAGTACTAATTAATCTTCTTTGAACTTATTAACCCTTACTAGACAATTTGAACTTACTTTTCTAGAAATAAGGGGAAATAATCTTGTTTATTACACGGGTAGCTATGTTGAAGATATTATATCAAGAAAGTTATACGATGTAGAGTAATAAAAGATGTGTATCTGTACATTCACTTGTAAAATATTTTTGTTTGAATCTCATAGTAATTTGATTACTCTAAAATGTGGCTACTACAACACAAGACCTAAAAACAAGCTATGTGTGTCCGAGACTTTGAGATCACTGACGTGCATTAGATGATTAGAGATCATGAAAAAAACCAATATCGTAAAAAAAAATAAAAATAAATAGAGGCAGCAAGTTTTTGGCACCAAGGACTTCGACTGTATTCCCGGAGTTAAATTTTTGGACCCTAAATGAGTTTGAGTTCTATGACACTATTTTTCTAGAAATATATTTCAAGTAAAAATTTTATACAATTATAAGTATTTGTCAAAATAGTGATTAATGTTGCCTCAGCATACTTGAATTCCGGTGTAACCACGTGTAGCTCGCATGATGTGTTGATGTCCTTGATTGTCCTTGATTTCCATTGTAGTAGTGGGACAATTATTTTACAATCATTATTTTTTCTTGTCTCCCAATCATGATGGTCAATGCCGAAAATCATATCCAAAATCATCTTCTAGACTAGACGTCTACCCAAGTACCAAATCATTTTAACCTTGTAGGAGGTAATCAATAATTAGTACGAACGGCACCTGTACCCTTTCCCCGACGGCAAAAGGAAGGAAACTCTATAGTATTACAACAGTAAACATGATTTTGATAAACTGTTTCTAGTTTTACTTTTTTTGATCCAGAAAGCTTGGAGCATGTTGATTTGTTTTCTTCTGCTCTTGATGTGAATAAGAACTTGAATTTTTTTTAACTTTTTACTGTATTTAGGCTCCGTTTGGTTTGATGTAAAACATTTTCAATGAAAATTTACTTTTTATGGAAAACATATTTTCAAGGAAAAGCACAATTGCAAATTAGTTTTCATTTGTTTGGTTACATACAAGAAAAGTTCAAGAAATATAAAAAATATGAGTGGGAATGTGAGGGAAGTAAAAAGGTGGTAAGGAGGAGGATGAAGTAAAATGTGGCTTACCTTGTTTTGTAAAGGAAAATGTTTTCCATTATTAAGAATGCAATTTTTCACACCTTCATAAACCAAACAAAGGAAAATGGGAAAATCATTTTACATTTTACATCAAACCAAATAGGGCCTTAGTTAGATTATATTATTTCCTTTTTGTGTCTGGTCTTTAGTTTTAACTAGATTAGGTCCTGTGCCATGCACGATAATTTTCACTATTTATTATTAGTTTAACAATATATTTAATTACAAAAGTTATCTAATTGCATGCGAAATAAGATGAAAAATTTGTAATTACAAAAATAAAAATGAAATTATATCATACTACAGAAAATCGTGGAAGTATTACATGCACGACTAATATAAATAATTACAGATTACGTCACAAAGTTATATGTAAGAAAATATTATTGCATAGTATTAAATAAAAGAATAATACTTTTGTTGAATGTGTATAAATGAAATATAATTACCAAATAGTAAAGGAAATATAATTTAATAGTATTAAATATTCTCTAAGAAGGTTTGGAAAAAAAAAATTTATCTTGGCGGGAAATTTTTTAAAAATAAAAGAGATGACACATGTTATTCTTGGTTTCTCCTTTAATATAATATATAGTTATAGTTATAGATTTCTATGTTAAAGTCAGTTTGATGCAATATAACGTAAAAATGTTTTTATTTTTTCATACTATAAAGTAAATCCATTTGTAAATCCATTTGAGTGTAATTGATCAGAAAAAAAAAATCATTTTAAGCAAATAATATTAATATTAGTAATAAGAATCTTTAATTGGTATTATAATATATAAATTTATTGTCTTAAATAAGTTGTCAGCTAAAAAGAAAAATAAAGTTTGAGTAACATTTATTTTTGGAAAATAGTTTTTCGAGGGAAAAAACGACACCAGGAAGTGACATGTGTTATTCCCGGTGTCTGATTTAGTATTATGTTATTGAAGGGCGCAAGGCGCAAAAAGTCCTTGGAGCCTAGGCGCAAGGCGAAGGCACGAGCCTTTTGTAAGTGTGGCGCACTTTATTCATATAGAAAAGTAATAATAATTTCTATTAAATAAGTGTAAAAGTGAAATTATAAGAAAAGGTGAAAGGACCATGTAAAAGGGTTTTTGAAATCGAATTATAGGATATGGGATTTCTCACTCCACTAGAATTGAAGAAAACCTGCCCATAACAAAGTATCATGATATACTTTAGGAAAAATAAACTTACACAATAGCTATTGATGCTTTAAAACATAAAGCGCAATATAAGGCGCAAAGGCGCGCACCTTTTGTAGGTCTTTGAGCCTCAAAGAGCCAAGGAACCAACTCTCGAGCCTCACTGTTCCTTGCGCCTAGGCATGCCTAAGGCGCGCTTTTTAAAACTAAGGTATGGTCACTTTTTGATCATTTAAGATTTGGCTTTAAACCTTTAATCCTTATTTTACTTATTTTAAGGGTGCGCTATTGACTTGTTATTTGATATTATAGACTATATTTGCTGTTTGGACTTGGGTTCCTATATGTCCAACATTTTGTGAAATCTTTTCTTAATTTTGATTAAAAATGGGTTAAGTTGTCAAAGTATCCTACCCATAACCCATCCATCCAAGGGTCAAGTATCCATTGTATAAAAAAGCTCAAGGCGCACTGAAGCGAGAGGGTTTCTGCTTCAGCGCCCCTCTTTGAAGTGAGGCGCAGTATATGGGCAGCTAAAAATTTTTGGCTGAAGTTTGCTTCAAATGCGCCTCGGGCGCTTTTTGTGCGCCTAACTCAAAACGCCTCACCCAGACCAAATTAAGCGCTCACCCCTGATCGACTTGCGCCTCAGTTAGGCGAGCTTTTTCAAAAATTGCTAGAATATGAGTACTTAAAATAAAGTGAAGAGTGTGAGTAATAAAAAGGTGCGCTTTTGTCTTGTGCCTAGTATTCAAGGAGTTTTCCGATTTGGTACACTTTAAGCTTTTATAAAAAAAAAAAAATTATAAAATATTTTTATCATTGCATGCACATTATTTCTTGTATTCTAGTTAAAGTTTAAGAATATGAAACTCATAACCTCCCTTTTCCAAGTTGTTGGAGATATTTTTTTTTTAATAATTTTTTTTTTTATTACTCCGTATTATTATTTTCTTTACATTACATTATTTTGACTCCTCTTTTAATCTTTTTAATACCTCGAGCACTTCAATATTTTGAATCACATAATCGCTTAAGAAAATGTAGCAATAAAAGGAAGGAAAAGAAGAATATGTGCTTTATGTGCTCACAAATAGGTTTAAGATAAACATCATATATATAACAAGAATTTACAATTAAATCTACTTAAAATGTTTGTTTATATATTTTCTCCGTTAGAATTCATGCAAAAACTCATCTAAAAACAAGAATAAATTCCACTGATGATGTGTTGAACCCGTTTCCTAATTTAAGATAGTGTTTTTGTGTTTGAAATTTCTTATCTTGACGTTTTAGATAATTAGATATGTACTCGCATCTGACATCAACTCAAGTAACATAGCTTGTAATAGGGCTAGAGTTCAGGTTTGGTAATGTCATCTTTTCCTAAAAATTAGATTCATCTTCCATTCTTACCTTCAAATTATGACACACAAATTAGCAAACAAAAATAGTCTCAAAAAACCTCAATCTCCTCTGTTCATGTATTCCTAGCCGTTCATCTACGAAATCCCCT